TATATATATATATATATGTTATATATATATTTATTTATTTATTAGTTAAGTGTGACAAAAAATAACAATACTGTTTTCAATAGAACAAATTAGTTGATATAATCTTTAAATTATAATTATGCAGGTATGTTACTAGCAGGATTAGCAACATTTTTACCAAAAATTATTGAATCACAATTTACAATGCCAGCAAGCAAAGCTGCCTTTTTGGTTGGTGAGTCAAAATATTAAATATTTCATCTGATAATATATACTTTCATTAATTATAAATATTTTATAAATTTTCTCAATATCTAGCAAATTAATATAACTTTTAATTTACTATGACCTTAGTTTCATGCACAGTTTCAATGATAATAGATAATCAATTACTTTCAATCTATTATAATACTAATTTGATTCAGTTTTATTTAGTTACAATTGTTAAGTTACAATATATTCTTAATTTGTTTTATTGCATTATTGTGTGTGTGGAAAGCTTCTGTAGAAGTGAATAGTAGTTAATTATATAACAATCTCTTTTTGAAATAAATTATGAATTATCATCATCATCATCATTTCTTTATTAGCAAATGGGAATAATGTCCTTGTTACAGGAGGAATACAATCAAATAAGTTGAAATAAATTATGAATTATTGCTTCTTTGTTGTAACATAAATGTTATGAAATTTTATCACGTTTTCTGACATACCTTCCAAGATATACACTATTTTAAATTTCTTAGAACAATCAGACTTTTTACTCTTTCTTCACTAAAAGTTCAAACTTAAGCTGTTAAACTTTTGGGAAAAAATTGATTATATCTGTAACTTTTAATTTGTTCTTCCCATTGTTTAACTACATCCTAATCTTCATGCAGTTTTTTTTCTTGAAAGTTTATCACCCAAGTGTGAACTTTTGGTGAAGAAAAGATAAAATAGTTTAGTTGTATTAGAAAATTTTCTTTATAATGTTTTTAAAGATATTGCAGGATTTTTATCAAAGTTGAATTTGTAGTTATTGTTGTTTACTTGATTTAAACATAATAATAAAAATTGGAAAAAATTTCAATAGTCTAAATTTTAACAAGATACAATGTATTTAATATATATTTTTTTAAATTATATCTTAATTGTTGTTCAAAGCTGAAAGTTCAAATTGCTGTTCATAATTTTATTAAATATTGTGCTTGCTAGTATTGTTTATTTAATGTGTTATTACTTGTCATATGTTTGACGTTCAAAATTTACTTTAAAGTATAGACTAAACAATAATAGCATCAAACATTTCTAATCCTTTATCTATCAATAATAATTAAATGTTTATTGTTGTAGGATTTTCAAAGATACAGGCAGCTAAAGTAACAGAAATGCATCACAAATTACAAAATAGTGCAGCAGCTGAACAAGGATTTGGAATATCTTTAAAAGATTTACCAATATCTTTTAAATTTCTCATTTATAATCCAACATTTTTGTTTTTGAGTTTTGCAGGAGCAAGTGAAGGTAAAGCAATTATTTCCATTTCAAATTATGTATCATTTGTTTTAAAAAAAATAAATGAAATAAAAAGAAAATAATAATTAGAACTTTGATGACATTTAATTAATTTTTTGTTAAATTATGTTCACAAATTGTTTCTATTTCAAATTCAGTTTAAATACAAAATAAAAAATGATTATTTTAAATGAAGATAGAAAAGAATCATATAAAAACTGAAAATATTATTGTATTTTTGTATCCTATATTAAAAAAGTCAATTTTTTCATAGTGTTTGCTTTTCCAGTTTTTATATATAGATATAATTTCTTTAATAGTAAACCATGTTTATTTTTCTATTCAGCTTTTTTTTTCATTTTTTCTTGATATCAAAAGCTAATATGAAAAACAAGCAAATCTACAGTTTCAGTTTATTATGTANCTATATTTCTGTTGACAAAAAATGTTTTCCTTCAACAATAATTAAGAAGCCTTTCAAAATGAAACTTATTTGAAATTCTATTGCTTCAGATAAGGAGTTTTGAATATTTGCCAGATACAATAAATTGTGCAATCTTAGCAAGCCTCTTCAAATTTCTTATCTATTTATCAATTTGGACTAATATCAAAAATAGTTGCTTATGTTAACCAAATGACTACGCATTTAATTTTGAAAAATATGGATAATAAATAAATAAAATGTTTTAAATGTTGCATTAATATTTTAAAAATAAATTAATTATTATATGATATGTATTTACTATTTAATTATGTTAACTATAATAATTAGTTTTTATTAAAATGTTAATGGTTCTCAGTTAAAGTTAAATGATCTTATATATAAACAGAATGAATGTGTCCTGATAGCATAGTTGATTAATGCATCTCACATGTCACTGAAGATTGTGGGTTCTGATCTCACTTGGGATCAAATTCATGTTTTTTATTGTCTAGAGCTAGTTTTTCGATTTTTGAGATGCATATGATTAATATATTATTCTTTATGTTAGGATGATATTTCTTAAATATTAAAATATTAGATTTTGAAATAAAAATCTTCTTAATAATTGTATTAAAATATAAAAATTATAAATATTTAAAATATTCATATTATTTTATTTAATATGATTTTATAGTTATATTTAATATGAATTATTTATTTTTAAAGGTTTAGTTACAGTACCTGGTGCTGGTGGTGGAACATTTTTGGGTGGTTATCTTGTTAAAAAATTTAATCTCAAGTGTGCTGACATAATTAAATTTTGCATAATTACTTCTGTTATATGTTTGGGATTTGCATTTATTTTTTTTATGCATTGTCCAAATGCAGATTTTGCTGGAGTTAATGTTCCTGTTTCTAATAGGTAAGAATATGTTTTTTTTTTTCTTTTTTTAATTTATAGTAATCTAGCATGGATTGAGAAATGCAATATTGTTGACTATTAATTTGTATAAATTGCATTTTGATTTTTAGTTCAAATTCTACAATATCATTACAAGATGATTGTAACAAACAATGTAAATGTTCATCTTTGCATTATGATCCAGTTTGTGGTTCTAACAATGTTTTATATTATTCACCATGTTTTGCTGGATGTCGAAATAAAATTGTAACAGGTAATTCTAAGGTAATTAACTAACTATATTTTCAATAATTTATTTTCTTAAATTATATTGACAATATATTTTTTAGGTTATAAAATTAATGCATTATATTATTTGATTAAATTTAACCATTTTAAACTTGAATTACATATGGCTTGATATATTATTTAAATAAAAGTGTTATATGTAATTATAAATTTGATTAAACATGTTCATATATATGGAAGTAAATATGAATGTAGAATTTTAGTAGAATACAACTACATAAAGATATATACTTTAACATGAAGAATAAGATAAATAATAAGAGACCTGTATTTACAAGATAACACAGTAGTTACATTCTGAAAGTGTGTTGTGTTATGCAAATCCATACTAAACAAAAGAAAGGATTAATGCAAAACATAGGGTTACATTCCAAAGGTTAGCAAAAGTATATTATTCTTTTTCGTTACTAAGAAGAATATATTTATTAAAGCAATTGATAATTTATTTCCAATCAATAATTAATTAACAGTCTAACAATCACAATTGAAAGTACTATATTACATGTTAATATTAATTTTAGTTAAACAAGGGTGATTTTCTTTCTACAAAGTATTTTGATCATCAGTTTTTGAATGATTGCTTACCTACAGTTAAAAAATGTTTAATAGCATTTATCTAAAAATATTTAAATGAACGTTACTAAATATGAAGGTTAATCTATAAAAACAAAACACAATGATAGTATTAAGGACTAAAGTCTGAAAACAATAACAATGACACCTGGTTGATAGGAAAACTAGGATAAGGAAGAAGAAAAAATTTACTCTGTTTTCATTAAAGTAAACCTGACAAAATAATTTGAAAATTTCAATATTCTAAAACTGATGGAAAATTTGAGAGAACATGCATGCTTACTTGAATAAAAAAAATATCAAATAAAGAAGTTTACATTTAAAAATTGTGAAATTTTGTATGAAGGATTTCTGAAACCATGTTAGAGCAAAACCAGAAGTCATGCTGTTCAGAGGATATCCCCAATTTTCAAACCATGTTAGAGCAAAACCATGTTATATGAGGGATATCTGTACATAATGAAACAAATTTATGAATTAATTATTACAGTATTTGAAATGACAGTAATATCACCCAATTATATTTTATTATATGATACAAATGCATTTATACTTCAAATTGTAGAAAAAAGTAATTTGTGTTATGATTATTAGTACACAAATAGCAAAACAATTTTAGGGGAACTGGATCCTATGGACCTCCCTGGCTATTACAAGAAAAGAAATTTTAAGAAATTAATAAAATTATAATAGATTATTTTTACTTTATATTAGCATAATTTTTCCATAAAAAATTTTAATATGTAAAAATTGTTATTAAAAAAGCAATTTTTAAATGTTTCTATTTTAAGATTTTATAATATGACAATGCTGTTTAAACTTATAAGAAAATGTATTATTTATTTTTAAATTTCTCAATAGAAGATGACATACAAAAATAAATATTATTTTAAATCTTACTTAATTGTACTATAAACTAGTACACAAAAATTTAAATTTTCTTCCCTTTCTGACTTGTGGAGGATTAGTGACTTGTTAACTCTAAAACATTTATAAAAATAAAATAAAATCAAAAATTAAAAGGTCGAAAAAACAAACTGGTTTCCAACAAAGAGAAATTATTTTTATTATTACTGTAAACTTTTCCCTAAATGCATTTTGCCAGGTGCTCTGGCCTCTTCAGTAGGGTCGATTACACAATACAATTTAAATTTCCATCCACGACAAGTATCCATTATTAAGTAAGATTTATAACAAGATCTGACTCCATTGGTTTTTAAACAATTTTAATTTTTAAATTAAATATTATTTGTTAAAAATTATCTCATAGTCTTTCATTAAATATATGCTGTACATAGTTTCATTGAGGATTCAATTAAAAAGTTAAAAATAATCCATAATGTTTGAATTTATATAATTCCAATAATTCTATTTGATGTAAAGATAATCTAATAGAATGTATTTTAATAAAGATAATTAAACAAAATGATACAAAAAATTAATAAATGCCATTCTATTAGTATAAATCAATATTTTTGTATAACATTTTTCTATCATCTTTTTATTATTAATGCATTAATTACCTGCATTAGCATATTAAACAGTAATTTAAATTATGTTTAATATAATTTTAGATAAAATTCATAATAAATTAATTTTCTGATGATAAATTATGCATACTAAAATGTAAACATGATCTCATAAAACATTAACCTGCATCATACTTTAAAATATCCTTTTGTTTTTGATAGCATTATAGAAAAAACAACTATAGTCAGATGTAAGACATCTGCTGATATAAATATAGAATTCTAGAAAGAAAAATGATGTAAGATAAATTAAGAAACAAAAATAATATAAAGCTAACATGAAGTATAATATTAAGCATTCACTAATTTATTTCTTTGAAAAACATTTTTTAAAATATTTGGCATTATTTTAGGTAAAATTTTATAGATTAAAATTTTTAAAATTAGAAGTCATTTTCTGATCTATTCAAAGAAATATATCAAATAAAAATTAAATTTATTTGATTAATTTTTAACATAATTACAATTGCTTCATTTATTGATTATAAGCAATAAATATACTTTTTGTTAAAACATTTTAAAATAAAATATTTTAATAATTTGGAAAATTGTAAGTATTAATTGTATCATAAGAATTAACTATATAAAATTTTTTCTTTCTTGTTGGCAGGTTTACAATGACTGTAGCTGTATCCAACATGATGGGAAAACTACCAATTTAAATGGTGAAGGAATAATAATACAGGCTACTAGAGATAAATGTACCAACAACTGTAACTACATTGTTGTTTTTCTATCAGTTGTCTTCCTTTCTATGTTTCTGACTTTTCTTGTCAGTATGCCATCTTTGTCTGCCACTCTCAGGTTTGTAAATTATATAATTAAGTAAACAAATTAAAATATTTATTATATTTTTATTATTTTCATACAAATAATTTATTATTCCTATATAAAAATATCATTACAACAGTTAATTTTTAAATTCTCTTTTAGAAATATGATATTTCATACACAATTTAAGAAATTTAATTATTATTTTGAATAATTTCACTTTAGAGGCAAAAATATTTTTGACAAACCAGTAGCAATTTAACATATCAGTAGCCTTAAATGCCATTTATGCTGAAATCTCTGAATATATCATTTATTATGCACAAATGAAATTTAATATACATTCATTTCTGTTTGTTCATCTCCCTTTAAGTTTGAGAGCTTCAAACTTAGTTTGCTTATTGGCTAATCCATCATTGCTCCAGATAGGTGTAAGATGAATTTAGATTTAGTGATATCATCATATTCAAGAATCTGATTTAAAATTCAATGAACATATCTATATCTATTCTAAGACTATGAAAAATAAATTATGAAAATAGAAAAATTAAGTAATAAATAAAAAAAGTGAAATAAGTTAAGTGAAAAAATTTAAATAGGAATATTTTAAATTTTTTTATACTTTTTTATTTTATAAAAATTTCCTGTTCTTAACAGATCATTGTAAATTATATATGTAGAAATTTGTAGTTTATTAAGAAAATAATTTAAATTTTAACTATTAATAAGGTCATATGTCAAAACAAATTTTATATTTTATTAGTGTGAACAGTAAACTCTTCTAATTTTTTATTTAGAAAAATGAAATGCAACACTAAAGAAAGATCATACGTATTTTGTAAAAAATGATATTATTATTTAATACAGTTTTCATCATTTTCAAAACACTTTTCCTAATACTATATTTCATAAGATGTTGTTACTGATGTAGAATTTGTAGTTTTGATTCCAGAACATATTGTGAACATCTTGTTTCAGTTTAAAAAAGTATGAAGTAACTACTGCACTTTTTTAGATGATGCCTGTAGAGAAGCAAGTATATGGTTTTATCTTCAGATGTCACTTTTAGTCCTATGTACTGTACAGGATACAGAAGAACAATCCAATTATACTTATCTCTCACTGATCTTTTCTTATCCTATTCGCAACTTGAATCTGACATTTTCAGATTATAACCTGTTTAAGACATAAACAAACTCTACTTTTTAGATAGTGCTAAAATACAAAAAATATGTATAATGTGATTTTGAATGAAGGCAATCATTATTACAATATGAATAATGTAAAGTAACTTATATTCTGTACTGGCAACAATATTAAAACAATATCTAAAGAAAAAGTATAAAATATTGTAATGTATGTAATGAAATATTCATGCTTGCTTGCATTATTATGAAATTTTATAATCTTAAAAATGTGTNCCAAACTTGTGTGAAATTTGGCATTATCATGGTAAAACACTACACCTGTTTTGTTGATCAATTCTGGCCTTTTCTGTTTGATGATATTACTCAATCTGTTTACTCAATGGCAATATACTTTTGAATCAATTGTTAAATTGTCTGGTAAAAAGCTCAAAAAAAATTTCCTTAAAATTCCACCAAAGAGAGCATCTCTCTTTAAGAACATGTGGAACCCGTATATTGAACTTTGAAACAAAACCAATTCATTTCAAGTAATCATAAATGGTTCAATTTGGCAAATTTAATCTCTTAGTGATTTAATGTGTTGTTATTTGGCAGTTTGCTTCAATCAGTATCTTTATTTTGTTTTCATTGGCTTCAACTGGCCATCCAGAACATGGTGCAACTTCAATATTGAAATTGCCAGAATGAAATTTTTTAAACTGGTTTTGGCACTGTCTTTCTCTCAACACATCTCCATACATGTACCACAACTTTTTTCATGCTTGAACAGCATTTTGATTTTTTGATAATAAAAAAGCAAAATATGCTGAAAATGATGCTTTCGATTTTCCATATTTAATGGGACACTGAAAAAAACAATTGTACAGAATCAAACAAAATTTTTTACAAATAAGCCTTAAAATGTCAGCTATCAAAGTATATGATGAAAATGTGGTTTCAAATGAAATTGGCTGGTAAAAATACATCTAATTCCTCTAGTAATAAAAAAATGAAATTACTTTCCAAACAACCCAATATATATATATAATCAATAAAAGTCTTATTTAATAAATTATAATTATTTATTTGAAAGAATAAATATATTCCTCCATAAACCTTCATAAATTCAACTTAGATATATTTTACTTTTCATAATTCAAGTTATCATATTCAAATTTATGAAGGGTTTACTATAATTTTATGACAATTATTTTTGAATATTGGAATTAATATATATTTTTTTAATTTACAACAATCCCAATTAATTAAAAATTAATACAACATGATAAAATCAAAATGATAAAAAAACAATGTGAGAATTTTATAGTACATAGTATATCTGGATTATCATTTATATTTAACTTTTACAAATATTTTTAGTTAAAAATATATAACTTTCATGTTTTAAATTTGAATGAGGATTAAAAATTATATTTATACTACTATTTAGTCACATAATTTTCTTGATAATTGCATATACATCTTTTATAGTTATAATATAGCTGTTCATTTTTTATAACTAAATTTTATCAATATATACTATAAATATTGCTGAATTACTTTTATCACAAAAAATTTTTTATTTTTATTTGCTATATACTGTTTATAGATAAAAAAATCTATAAATAAGCATACCTTCCTCTCATTCAGAAAGATATCTGCAATAGACATATTCTATTTATAAATAAATAAATATGGATAAAGTGTATTGAGTATATAAAAAAGATTCCTGTAATGTCATTAAAAAATATAACTTCTATATTACTAAGCTTATTTGGTTTAGAGAAAAAATATAGTTTTTAAAAATAATAATTCCTTTGATATTATATACTTCTGTATATTCTTAGATATTTTATTACTTGAATTAATTAGGATTAATTTAAAACAAAATATAGCATTTTAGTAATAAAAGTATTTCGATCATAAAATATTTTTGACACTAGGAAGCATTTTAGAACAATGATTTGAATAAATATAAAATAAATTTTAAATACTATATTTACAATTTAAAACTACAGTCAACAATGAAAAAAATTATTTCTTATATCATGAAGAAAATATATTTCAGTATGATTTTAAAATATTTATAGTTTAATAAAAATAGCTATTATTGGAAATAACTAATCCACCTTTAATTTTCCAGCAATCGTTCTTCTGTGTTTCATAAAAATATTTAAAACTATTTTAAAGGATCATCTTCAGGTTCAGTAAACATTATAAATTATATAATAGTTATCAAACAAATTTACCAAAACACATTCAAATTTAAAATTGAAATAAATATATGTTAATCAATTTGTTTGAAAGCATGTGTATTTATTCAAATTTTGAATGTATTCTGATAAATTTGTTTGATAACTATTGTATAATACATTTGTAAAATTTATAATGTTTGCTGAACCTGAAGATGATCCTTTAAAAGGATTGAAAGTTCTTGTTTAGCACAGAACAAATGCTGGGGAATTAAAGGTGGATCACTTCTATTATTGGAAAATAACAAGCTTGTAATTATCTAAAAGTAGTTGTTTTTATTTAAATATTAGCTGTTTTATTTATTTTGAGTTAAGCCATCAAAATTCATTCACAGCTGAAATACATTCATAAGAAATAACATATTTACATTTCTATTATTTTTGATTGATTGATTTCATTAATAATTGAAATTAGTTACACATAAAAAATTTGTGAATTGTTTATATGAAGTTTNTATTACATTTATATTTTTGGAATATTATCTTTATATTTAACAATGTTCTGAAATAATTTTGCTTCATTTAGTTTTTCAATTATGTTTTAAAGATAAGTTATCAATTAATGTTTTCACTACACAAATTTAGAAATTTCAATTTATAATATTGATTCAAGTCAAAGATTTTCAATGAACCTTTAACTTGAAAGCTAAATGAACATTATAAAAGTAATATTTTAAGATTTAAATTCATAATTTTCTTCTATTATATTGAACATAAAATTTTGTTTTCAAATACTTTTCTATAAATTGATATTACTATTTTAGGTTTAAAAAAGATCCAATAAACAACTTATTTAAAGTCAACAAGTTATTGTTTTACATTAAATATCATCCAAGTTGATTTTATACACACATATACTAAAGCATAATGTCAAAAAATTTATATTGTAACATGTTAATCATTGGCAATAATTGGCAAATTTAATGAATAAATCAGAAATATTTATTTAAAAAATTCAGAAAACTTTACATGATTTTTTAGTAGAATTTTATTTTATTAATAAAAAAATTACAGTAGTTATTAAATATCACCACATGACATTAAACTAAATATTTGATTTTTTTAGATGTGATTTCGATATTTAATCAGTTTTGTTTCAATGAGTGTTAACATATGGTATAATAAATAATGCAAAAAGATTGCTGTTACTTTCACTTTCACTTTCACTTTTAAATAATGCATATTTTTCTCATAACTCTAATTTCCTTAATATCCTTAACTAATTTAAGATAATTATAGAATTTATATAAAAATGTTTTATATTTTAAAAATTTAATATGAAAAATGAAATTGTTTCCTAACAAATTTTTAATATTTTAATATTATTACTTTCTTAAATACATTTTTAATATTTCTATTTTAAATTTTTTATATAGTATTATTAAAGTTTAAAATCTTAATACAAAAGGTATATAACTCATAAAAATATAGGAATATATTAATTATTAATTCAATTAAAAATACATTATGTAATTTTTCTGTAAACAGAATATTTATCTTATAATAATAAATTTATTTAGCAAATCTAGATCATATTCAGATCTAATTAATTATGTTTCTTTTTTTTAAACATATGTTCAACATATTAAGATTCTACGTTTATTTTTATGTTGTTATTAAAATTATATTGTTAATTTTAGTGATTTATATAATTATTA